AACGCTTCGATAATATTTAGTTAAGGGTATACCATAGTCGTTTTCGTCTAAAAGTGCCAAAAGTGTTGCTTTTATAGGCGTTTAGTTCATGCGGGTGCTTTGCCTAAAAGTAGGCTGCACAATTGATGCATTTAAATCACCTGCACATTGCCAGGGCCGACACGCCCTCGCCCTCGCCCTCGCCCTCGCCCTCGCCCTCGCCCTCGCCCTCGCCCTCCAGCCGTCACCCTTAAGCGAAATTGACGCTTTCAACATATGCTGTGTAGTTTTGAACAATCAATGCGTGCGGCATTCTGTCACTTTAAACGCCACGCCCTCGAGCTGCTCAGTCACAAATTATCGCTAATTTTGAACAAGCTTTGGGCTTATCTTGAAAGGCAGCTGGCAAAATTTGTTAATTGGAACTGCGACTTCCGTTTTTTTACTTCTTATGTTAATTTGAACGCATTACTTAAGTATGAAATGAGTATGAAATAAGTATAAAATATGAAATGAGGCTGACCTATGTACTACAAAAATAAAAATAATAATAATTTTAATAAAAAATAAGAAAATAATACACTTTCTGTATTTGGCATAGTATTTTATATCTATATTCGCCCCATATATCAGGTGACGAGCTGAGTCTATCTTGTCATGTCTGACTGTCTGTTTGTCCTTATGAACTCGGCGACCTTGGAAACTACAAATGGAAAAGACTTATAAATCGGAATGTAAAATATAAATTCATTTTTATACCCTGTTTTATTTCAATATCGATAAATATCAATTTTGAGACATGGTTTTTATGACAAACTCTCAATATTATAAGAGCTAGATAATCAGTTTTGGTAGTACAAAATTTACAAAATTGCACGTTTTGGATACCTCTCCCCGTTTCCCCTTAAACTACAAGAAACTCAATTTTAGTGGCAATGACTAAAACTTTTCGGCTTACACAACATTTGAACGCCATTTTCAAGCCCAAAGATAATGAGCAACGTATTTCCCATATTATAAAGCTAGAAGAAGAAGAGGAAGAAGCACTGCCTCTTGCGCAGCCTGCTGCGTGTGTGCGTGTAAGAAAGCTAAAATGTTTATTACGACAGCTCGGCGTTGGGTACTAGATATCGTCTAAACGGTCGGTCCCAAGGAGCTGCATTAGAAACTTCTTCTAACAAAAACACAAGCAACCCGGAGCGAAGACAAAGAAACCTACAGAAGCCCCTTCTAACCATTTTTAATGGAGTTTGCAATGGTTTTGACGAGAAAACCATCAATTATGCCATCTGATGCTGCACAGATATGCGCATTAAGTTGATTTAACTAGAAAATGTATATGTGCTTTTATGCTCATTAATGCATGCAAACCGAGGCAATAATACATGCACACAAACATTGATGCGTACATAAATTTACAGGCTTTAGCCAAGCAAATACCTTTCCTTTATTTTTTTTCTTTATTTGTTGAGTAAACGGATAAACGGCATCATTAAAAAATAATTGCAAAAACACATTAACTCTCTCTCCAAGGCCTGTACGAGCAGCCACATGCTGAATTTGATGAGAGGATTTCGATATCGATTCTTATCGAGGGCAAGGAAACGATCCTTGGATATAAACTCGATCTGCAAAGCACGAGGAGCGTCTGAGGTCGACGAACGGACATGGAATATTCGACTTAATCGACTTTACTTTGTGGGGTCGGAGATGGCTCTGCCTGCCTGTTACATACGTTTGCTCAAGTCCATAATGCCGTTTTTTAATGGATTCAAGGGCATAATAAATAAAATACAAAGTACGACAAAGACAGCAGCAGCAAAAATTTGGCAAGCGCCCAAAATTGCTGCCATTCAACAGTTGGCCACATTCGTTGAGGTTGTCTGGTCTGCCAAGGTGAAGGGAGGCTGACAGAGGGGCCGGCAGGAGGGGTCGCTGGAGCTGGGCATAAGTTGGTTTTTGACAGGGGCATGGGGCATGTGGCTGGCTGGCAGGGGGCTGGACTGGGCTGGCGTCGTTGCTAGCGTGCTTTTGGATGCGAAGCCGCATTTGCGTTCTCGTCGGTTTCTGTTTGCATTTGCGTTTTGTCAGCCATATGACAGCGGCGGGCAGCACAGCAGCGCCACCTGCGGCTCAATATTGACACTTTTGTCGCTTGTCTCTCTCTGTGTCTGTGTGTGTGTGTGCTGTTGCTATTTGGAACGTATTTGTTCAAGAGCTTTATACAAATAGCCCATAATTAAATGTAACAAGTTTCCAGCGGCAAATAAACAACAAGAAAACATGACGGCAAAATGTGCGACACCCTGCTGCCTGCTGGCTGCTCCCTGCTTTGTATCCTGCCAACCTTTCATCCATCCATCGAGCCATCCATCCATCTATCTATCTATTTATCTGTCTGTTCATCTGTCTGGCCACCGCTGCCCTGCCGCTGCCCTGCCCTGCCCTACACAGCCCACCACTCACCTGCTGATTGGCCCATTTTTTTTATGCTCTCGGCCAGTCGCCTACCGCGCGTTGTGCCCAACATTGTTGGGATGTCAGCGCAATGTGCACAGGGATTGGAATCAGGCACTCCCCTCTGCCACTTATCAGCCCTGTTTCCCGCAAAATATGCCACGTTGACTGCTCGCAATGCGTTCGGAATTTCAAGCCAATCCAAATATTTCTTCACTCGGATAGTTGAGTGTGCCTGAGGAATTGTGATAACGAGCCTGATTCTAATGAATGATTGATTGAATGAGTAAATGAATTGATTCAAGAGCACACAAACGAGGGTGTCGACTCTTAAATATGCCAGCAGACACATTTCTTCATTAAATAGCTCGAATTCTGTTATATTGAAGGCAAAGCAAGCATTGGAGATTAACTTTAATCAATAAACTGGTTTTCCATTCAAAACACATTCTATTTAATCAATTGGTTAAGTGAAGTCAAGCGGTTGAAGGAGCTTATGTATAGGATTTAGTTTGAGCTAGAAAATGACTTTGAAGTGCTTAAAGCAAAAACCTTAAATGTGGTTTTAGATTGTTTTGATGCCAGCCACAGGGTATCTATCAGTTGAGCTTACGCCTCCAAAGCATTAGCTAAATATGATTATATAATGCCTGCAATAGAAATATTCAAATGTTTCACATTCTGAGCTCTTGCAATAACAGGCGGTATCTATGAGTCAGGCATATTTCTTAAATGCCTCTGGCAATGCCTCTTAAAGAAATTTTATAAAAATTTGACCCACCTACTAACTAAAGGGCATCTGGCAGTCGTGCATACCCTAGCATGCAACACTAAACGCTCATGTATTTGCTTTGGTGCCAACTGCAAATTCTTGCACCAAATCGCTTTGTCTTGTCGACAAACGAGCTGCTAACAAAGATGGCAGTCGGGTGGACGGTCCGACGGACAGCAGCTGGAACCCAACACTCCCCTCACCCATGCTGCAGTTGCCTGCTGACCATGCACATGTGTGTGTGCGTATATGTGTGCTTGTAAGTTGCACTTAACAGACTGGATCCATGCGCCATGGGGAAGTTACTGTTTGACATTTGCTGTCATTGTGAATGTCCTCGACATTTGATGTTGTTGTTGTTCTTGTTATTGTTTTTATTGTTGTTGTTGTTCTTGTTATTGTTTTTATTGTTGTTGCTGTTGTTGTTGTTGCTGTTGTTGCCACCGCCTGCGTTGCCTTTGTGCAATTGCCGTTGTTTGTCCAGAGCCCTTGGCCAGCAGCGCCTTTGTCTTCGCTAGCCAGTCCAATATACTCGTATATGGAAACGTAGCTGCCCGGCGCAGTTGTGTGTGCCGCTTTGTGTGCTCAAGTTTCAATTGAGGCTCTGGCGAAGACCACAACCACAACCTATAACACGTTGTACAGCACTACTACAAAACAGAACAGAACAAAAAGAAAAGGAAATACAGTGTTGTGAAATACGTTCTTATAATGTACTCGCTTTGTCTAACGGAATTTGCCTCGTTTGATTCGTTGATTTTCTTGGCTCATTTTACGGATTAGGCAATTTGATCAGCCTGTCAATCCATCAATGTGATAACTGTCTAGCATCGAATTTATTGACTTGACAGCTCGATTTGCATTTTGCCGTTTTATTCATTTTGCATTACTGGATAACTTCTGCAGGGTTTCAATTGTTAAAAGCTGCCTGCAATACTTTCAGATATTCTTGCAAAGTTTTCATTTAACAATATGTAACAGGCATAAAAAGATAATGCGATCATGTATTTATCCTCTTAATCTGGAGATCAAGCCATGACGACCAAGTCTTTTCAAATAAACGAGGACTGTGCAAATTAAATGTTTCATTTTTGCAAGTGGACTATTTGGACGTGTGCTAAAAGTCAATCAAAATCGATTTCAAGCCTTTTATTCTTTAAGAGACATCGATATAGTTTTAGTTTTTCCTACTTTTTCCATATTTTGTAAAAATATTCTGTAAAAATACAACTGAAACTCTTACAATTTGATTATGATAAAAATAGTATTATATGAAGGATATATTCAGTTAAAAGGTCGTTCATAGCCCGGTTTAATATAATTTGCAAAATGCAATTCCTGTAAGTCCTTTATTTCCATTGGTGTTAAAATGTGATTGTATATAGAAAATAGGGAATGTAATATAGAAAACACGAGTAACTCAAATGCTTGAAGACAAAATAAAATGCAAATAAAATTCCCAGAAAATGGATATTTCTCACTCAAGATTTTATTTTCTGTGAAATGCCATTTCTGAAAGTACCATTTATCTTAAGTCAATTCGTCGAAACACCAAGAACGTCTCAGTTTCATAAGAAAACTTAATTGCATAAAATTCCCGAGACTGGGAATTCCAACTAAGAAGTTTGTGGTTTATTCGGAATTGTCTAAAGACTAATGCAATCCAATGCACATGTTAATTAAAAATAATTATGGTCATATTTATAAGGATGATTATTGAATTAAAGAACTGTAGCTGATTAATATTTAAGACTATTCTAATCCATTGTGAATGCATTTGCTCTTATTGCAGCTAAAAAACTAGCAACTAGCAGCAGTAGCAACTCAAAGAGCTCGTGATTATTTCAAAACGGAAACGGAAATCAAGTGCTGGCTAACGCCAAAGAGAAGAACAGTCATCTGCAGCAGCTGCGGGAGTCGAGACTCGAGAGTCGGGAGCCGGGAGAAGAAACAAAAATAGTCGTCAGTCGGCAGTTGAAAACAATGCAAATTAAAATACAATAAAATGTAAAACACGGCAGCAACAGCAACAGCAACAACAGCGACAGCAACAGCAACAACAACACAGACGACGGCAGCAGCAGCTGGGAAACAAATCTAGCTAAAAAGAGAAAGAGCGAGGGCAAGAGCGTAAGAGAGAGTGAGACAGAGAGAGAGAGAGAGAGAGAGAGAGAGAGAGGAGGGTGCGAAAAGCGAGTGTGCGTGGGTGTGGGTGTGAATACTGTGGTTGAAATCATGCCAAATGGAAATGTGAAGCGCGCGAAGTGGCGGCAACTTTTCCACTGAATTGATTCGAGCAGAAGTCACAGGACACTCGGTGTAGATAGCAGCAACAATTTACATAATTTTCAGCAGCGGACACGCCAGCAACATAAGCAGCAAGCAGCAGCTAAGGGCATAAAAAGGCGCCAAAGCAATAAAAATAAAACTAAATAAATAAATTCAAAAGAAGAAAAAAATAAATAAAACAAACAATGTAAGCAACGGTACTCAAAATTCATTCAAAAGTTAAAAAAAAAAAAAATAAATACGCAAATAATACGTCTCAGCCAACGAAAACGCGCGCAAAACGCGAGTGTAACGCGCGTGAAACGCTACAAAACAAAACCAAAAACAACAAGCGGTACAACACCAACAACAACAACAACAAGGCCGCAAAGTTTGCCTATAAATGTACCAGGACAGCAGCTGCAGCAGCAGTAGTCGACGTGGCAGTGCAGCAACAGCAACAGCAGCAGCGGGAGCAGCAGCAGCAGCAGCGACGGCAGCAACTGGGGACGAGGACACGTTCGAGGCGCTGGCAATAATAACAACTACAACCATAACAACGACAGCTGATGCCAAAGTAGGCGCTGCCGAGGCAATAACAACAACAACAACCACCACCACACTGATAACAGCAGCAACAACAGCAGCAACAGCAACAACAGCAACGAGCGCAGCCAGCAGCAACAACAGCGACGACGACGACGACGACATCTACACCGACGCCGACTTAGATATTGAGTGTACCACCGCGCACGGCTCCCGCCTGCCATCCTCGAACCTAAGCAACAGCAGCAGCAGCAGCTGCGGACATGCCGCGCTGTTCAGCGACGCACAACGACAACAAAAGCAGCAACAGCAACAGCAGCAGCAGCAGCAACAGCAGCAGCAACAGCAACGGCAGCAACAGTTGCAGCTGCAACAAACGCAACGCGCCGCCGCTGCCCTAAACGCCGATGTGCGGCTGCTGTGCCAAATTGGATACATTGCATCCCGGGTGCGCTGCCTGGCCAAGTATTACGGCGACTTTCACCTGGTCAATCCATACAGTGCACAGCGGCAGCGACGCCAGCTGCAGGAGATATTGCTAAAGCACTCGATATTCGATCCGGGACGCGAGCGCGAACGGGCGCTGGTGCTGGCCGCGGCGACGGCGGCCGTTGGCGCAGCCACAGCAGCAACTGCAACTGCAACAGCAACAGCAACTGCAACAGCGGCAATTTTGAGTCGCAGTCAGAGCTGCAGCAGCAGCTGCTTTGAGCCGGAGCAACAGGACGAGGCAGAGCAGTTACAGCTACAGCTACAGCTACAGCTGCAGCAGGCATACGAATCGGAGCTAGAACCAGATTTTGCTGAGGAGGACGAGGAGCTGGCCATTGCCACCGCGACAACAACAACAACAACAACAGCAACAGCAACCACAACAACAACAACAGCAACAGCAACAGTGCGACGCAAGTCCTCGGCAAGCAGCACAGCTAGTGGTGCAGCAACGGCAACCGCTACCGCAACGGCAACAGCAAGCGCATCCGCGAGCGGATCGAGCAGCACATCTGCATCGCTCTTGACGGCAGCCACGCCCATAGCGCTGCTGGAGGAGCTGCTTGTGCAGTTGTACGAGGATCAGGATCAGTGTGGCAGCAAGCTAACTGTTATACGCAGACGAATCGCCTGCTCTGACAACCTAAACAACCTTAACAACAACAACAATAACAGCAGCAGCAGCAACAACAACAACAGTAACAGTAACAGTAACAGCATCAACAACCAAAACAACAACAGCAGCAGCATTGGCCACAACAGCAACAGCAACAGCAGCAGCAGCTTCAGCAACGGCCACAGCCTGACCATGTCCACATCCATGTCGAACATGGTCGATGCAGCACCAACAACAGCTGCCAGCGCGGCAGCAACTGTTGCCGGCGATATTGCTGTTGTGCTGCCCACCAGTAGCAGCAGCACCGGCGTCGGTGTCGGCGTCGGCGTTCCTAGTCAGCACCAGGCACGCGCCTATCTGCAGCCCTCGGGGGATGCCGACAATCCGCGTCGGCGTCGCGCCAGCGACTGCTCAGCGGTGCAGGCCGCAGCCGCATTCTCCAATCAGCTGCACCGCATCACGCTGAAGAACAACAATTGCACAGCGGCAGCGGCAACAGGAGGCAAGCTGCCCTTTCATCGCGGAAGCTGCGGCGCCGCCGGCGAGCATCTGCTGGCCGCCAATTCGATTGCAAATCGCGCCACCATCATTCTGAGCAAGTCCTGCAGCAATGTGGACGGCGATGTTAGCCTGACGACAACCGTCGGCAACAAGCTGCGCGCCAGCGCCACCGACATTGAGAGCAACTCGAATGCGCTTAACGGTGGCCGCACTGACGCTATGAAGGCCATTGCCGATGCGGCATCTAACAATGGCAACAATGAGTACAGCATTCTCCAGCTGAACAATACGATCATTCAGTGTCATTTCAATGATGATGATTTTCGCGCCCTTGTCAAGGATCTCAAGCGCAAGGTTGAGTACACGGAGCGCATGAATTGGCTATGTAAGTAGTAATTTTATTTTCATAAGCTTAACATTTTATTATACCAACACGAATCATTGACTGTATAGTTAATTTGTACACAATGTACTCTCGGTCCCTGCTCGGGCGCCAGTGAATAATGAGCGATGTACCCAGATATATTTTTATTTATTCAACTTTTGATGACTTATCCAAGCTGATTCACTTTTTTTGCCGCTACGATAATCCGTGGTCCCTTAAATTATATTTAAAATGCGAATCGTCCATTATGTTGCTTTTAAGTACAGAATGTACTTTCGTCCAAGCTGATTCAGTAAATTCGCTGCTTTGATAATCCTTAATCCCCCGAATTCAATTTAACTTAAAAGTACAGCATGTACTCTCAGTTCCTGCTCGGGCGCCAACTAATAATTAGCGTTGTCCTCGATAATTTTTTTTTTGTGAGTGGTCCAAGCTGATTCAGTAAATTCGCTGCTTTGATAATCCTTCACCCTCTAAATTCGATGCAACTCACAATGACAGTTTGTACTCTCAGTCCCTGCTCGGTCGCCAATGTAAAATCATAGTTTTCGAGTCCCTCATAATCGGATTTGATTACAAACGCTGATTATTCCATGTCCACACCAAGCACATTCATACATTATAGAGTACACTCATATACAGTATACAGTATACACGGTACAGTTCTCGGTCCCTGCTCGCTCTCATTATTCGGTGGCTTTGTCAAGTAAATGGAATCATTTAAATGCATATTACACTTTTCGTTCATTTGGCACTTAAATCGTTTCGTTGAATAAATTTGGGTCCCTGCTCGGGCGCCGTAAAAAATGCAATAATTTTTCCCCTCTAGTTTTTGGTCACAAACAAACTTTTACAAGCGTTTATTATTTAATCAATTTTGGCAAGTTACATTGAACACTTAAAGCAATATCGACACGCTTATTACCATTTTGAATGCCTATCATAAATTACAGTTAATTAATCGTGCTGCATGTACAAATCGCTTGATCGAAAATGTTACAGTATATAATCGTATCTTGATGTACAAAGTTGAGAAAATATGGCATATTAGGTTTGCTACTCAACTCGCTAACTTCTAGTTTCCAGCTACGATTTCGGAAACGGACTTTTATGGGAGTTCAACTCTTGAGGCAAATCGTTTCGAATGGGCGAGGGCAGCGAATGCAGCGAACCGAACAAATGCGAATGGGCGACCCCTTTAGCAATTGTGAACGCCATTTGAAATGATTTTTACATTTCATTGTAGTTCCATTTACTTTTTTGCATTCGCATTCGCATTCGCATTTGCCTCTTGTTGCCTTCGCTTACGGCTCATTTGAGGCATTTACACATCAAACTTGACCGGTCATTTGTTAGCGGCATGCTTTGAATGCTGACAACATTCTTGGCAAATATCAAATGTTAAGCCCTGAATGCATAACTTGCACTGTGTATGCAAATGCGAAATGCTATATCTGATTCTTTTGGTTTACCCAGAAGTCCTACGAGTGCCCTCTGCAAGCAAAAGCGTAGCTAAGGCGTATTCAAGTATACAAAGTAGATCGAATTACTATATTATAGCAACAATCGGTTCAATATTTGGTTGTACACGAAGGGCTATTATCACAAGCTTTCCAGCTTGCGGGCGACTAGTAGATACCCTGCAATTTTCCAAAAATGCGTTACTGCAATATTAATGATATTCTTAAGTTTATAATTAACATATAGTGGTATATTCTTGATAAACCGTTCCTAGCTCTTCTGTCTTCGAGATAACCGCAAAAAGCTGACTTGTTAGAATATGTAGATTATTGTGGAAATGTCGTGTCTGTCTTACTGTCTAACATACAACAAGCTGGGCAAAATCACACAACGAATTAAAATCTTGATTCGACTCAAGGAAGTGGCTTATGGATAACACATCAACAAAAACAACAACAACAGGCAGCAGAGACAGCAATCCGAGCATGTAACTTGTGATGCTCATCAAAAAGTTGCGCGACATTTGGCGTCTGCATATCTTTAGCTGTGACTAGGCACAGTGTGCCCCATATTCTTGCCTTGACTGTATGCAGCACACGGTCTGTGTCTGTGTCTGGCGCTTGATTTCATGCGCTCTCCCTTTCTCTCTCTCTCTCTCCCTCTCTTCGCCTACTTTGGTCTGGCTCTGCTTCTTGTGGCTGGCCCTTTTTACGCCTTTTATGTGTCCGGGGTGCATGTGTCTGTGTGTCGAAGGACAACGGACGGAGAGGACGACAACAACTTTGTTGAATGGCATTAAAAGTTGTCTTTGTATCGACGCGAGACGTTTGCCGTTTGCCATGGTCTTTTTTTTTATTTTGCTTCCATTTTTGTCCTTGCACTTCGCTGGCACATGTGTACGTGTACATGTGCGTGTGTGTGTGTGTGTGTGTATGTGTGCTGTCACTTTTCCACTGTGTCGCATTTAAAACATTTCAATTAAATTGCCCCGTTGCTTGCCTTCGATTCGCCTTCAATTCGTCTTTCAATTCGCCTTTAATGCGCCTTCAATTCACCCTTAATTAATTCGCCTTTTATTTGCCTTGCAGCTGAGCATTTTGTTGCCTGCTTTTTGGCGCCTGTTGATTGCCTTTTCATCCATTTTCTGTGGCTTGTGACACCTAATATTTACACACTCTATCTCCATAGCTGTATCTCTTTCTATCTTCCTCCTTTTTTTCACCCTTTCTGCCTTTTCTCTTTAGCCCGTTCGCCAGAATCTCACTTAGTCGTTTGACCGCTTTGATTTTTATTGTAATTCTTAATCTCTTAAGTTGATTACGCGCTCAAGCGAATAGCTCTCTCTTCTCTCTCTCACACACACCCCTTATGCATATGTGTGTGTGCGTGTGAGTGTGTGTTTGTGTGGCATAAGCTGTCGGAGCAATCATTGAGACCGTTACTTCATTTTCTACTTGCTGCCGCTCCGTCCCTTCTATTGGCCTTGCATAATTTTATGGCTCGGCTTTTAACTGTTTTCCACCCACACAATCCCGTCTTGGCATGCATTTACAGGCCAAAAGCAGCTTTTGCAACTAACAATTAAGGCCACCAGACGCCCAGGGCCACATAAGCCGCCATGCATTCGTGGATACGGCTAACAGCAGCAAAAGTTTGCGGTCTCTCGTTAATTGAAGAACGTAGAGTCATAAATTTAGCTGCCTTTTGTCTGCATACTAAGTATTTTCGCAACACTGGCCGATTTTGCTCAGTGTTGCTTGGCAACACTGCATGCAATTAAAATGGAATCAGATAGAAGTATACTGTTTTATCACAACTTAAGAGAGAGGGAGAGAGAGAGAGAGAGGGAGAGAGAGAGAGAGAGAAGAGAGAGAGAGAGTAAGAGAGAGAGAGAGAGTAAGAGAGAGAGAGAGAGAGAGAGAGAGAGAGGGGGAAACAGGTGACAACTGTTTCCAAACTTTGCTGTACATATTCAACCTCAAAAATTTGTATGTCTAGGTAAAGCACATTTTAGGTATGTGGGCTCTCATATGTTAAGGCAAAGACATTATAAATCTTAGTTCGGTTTGGGATCTAAATTTTATGTGTGGTAAATGTATTAAGAAGTAGAAATTCAAAGCCAATTCGTTTGTTCAAATTAAAAAACTACGCAATTTTATGGCTTAAAGACGTTGATTGTTTCACGTAACGTAATAAAGCGACAATTGACAATGTTTTGAAAATAAATTTCAGTTTTGCAGCCATGATGCATTTATCGAATCAAGGTAAGCATCGAAGTGCTGGAAAATGTCAAAATGCTCGAATGCAAATGTCAAATCGCAGCTGGTCACACTCAGTGTAACACACAGCATAGGTGGCAACCCTTGTTTATATACATTTTAAAAGATAGTTTTTTCTTAAGTTGATTCTAGAACTCGAATTGTTTTCGCCTAGACTGCCCTAAGCTCTTGTGGAGCCTGACGCATCAAGCACTCCTCTTCTTTATCAATCTTGACTAAGCCTCTACGATAGCACCTGTTGTCAAGTTAATTTCAGTGTCGAATTTAATATAAGCCAAAGACTAAGTCAAGCTGCACAGTGGGCTGGGCACGAAATTGGGGGCTGTTCACTTAAAGTGGGTCAAACACATCGCACTGTGGGCCATGCAGCGTTGGGTCGTAAATCAAAACACAGTGCCACACGTACTGCCTACACGCCTGTCTGTCTGTCTGCCTGTCTGTCGCATTGTGCGGAGTATGTGCCAAAGGTCGCAAAACCGAAATCGCCCCGCGGCAGTGGGGCATTATTGGGAGGATGGTTGGTGGGGGGTAGGGTAGTCACAAAACGCAAAATGGTCATAAATTCAAAAAGCCTAAATGGCTTGGCAATACTTACAACATGGCAGCCGCAAGAATTTCAACAAAAAAAAAAAAGAAAAAAAAGATGGAATCCAACAATGAAAGAGCAACAAAGCTGGATGCAAAGAGGAGAGGAGCAAGGAACAAAAATGAAAAGAACAGGTCACAAAATACGAATGACAAATACTAAGAGGCAAGAAATATGTCGGAAATCTACTCAAGAGCGTCGCAAACCGCCAAATGCCAAACGCTAACCAAATGCCAGTCGAGAATGAAAGAGAGGGCACGAGTGGCAGAGAGTAAGGCACTTAAGACGCCGAGCTGTGGCTGGGGCAGAGGCGGGGCCAGGGGTTTGGGGCTAGGGTCAGGCTCTCGTTGGCTGCGACAAAGGCAATGGCCAAATGGTGAACGGCAACCAAAAATCTAATAATAATAAAATACTTTATTGTTCGGTTAACATTTCAATTGTTTCACTTAACAAGACTCGACTCAACAGCGACAGAGACGGACATAGCCAGCAAGCAGAAGAGAGAGCGAGAGAGCGGGAGAGCGAGAGAGAGAGATAGAGACGGGGCAAATGAAATGGAGAAATAAAAAATAAATTGCCACAAAACAACATTAAGTGATAAAGTGTTTGTCAAATCAAAACGAATGACTTGAATGACTGACAAGGCACCATGAGAAGGGGTGAAAGAGTGCGAG